CGAACCAGCACCAAGTCCACTTCACAAACCCCTCAATAAAACAATACCTCCAATCCCCCGAGATCCAAACCACCGCAGAAAAACAACTCGCAATAACAGAATCCACGTCCCACGCCACCATCGCGAAAGACAGTCTAACCTACCTGCTCCAATTCACAGAGCCGTACACCACAATCCCGAGCAAAATCAAAACCTCGTACCTACTAAGCTACGCAACAAACTACTGGGCCGTGCATGCCCGCTTAGCCCGTCCAGAAACAGACCCAGAACTAACGGCGCTAATCCTCCGCTTCCTCAACTCAGGAACAGCATACCTAAACTGGACAGCTTTTCTGGATGGATACGAACCCTTTTCTGGAACCGATGGGTCTGGTCTGATCCGCCACCCACATCCAATCTACTACGCTGCGTCATTCGGCCTAACCAACATCGTTGCAGCGCTCCTTGACACCGGTGCTCCCCTGGATAGTAGGGGACCAAGCGGGAGCGCGCTGGCTGCTGCTTCACTGGCCGGACATCTGGATACTGTCAAGGTGCTTGTCGATTCCGGGGCGGATGTGAACCTGGCGGGGCCTTTCGGGACGCCGCTTGTTTTAGCGTCGGGGAGTGGGTTTGTGAGCGTTGTGCGGTTTTTGGTGGAGAGGGGGGCCAATGTTGAGGCGAGGGGCGAGTGGAGTGAGACGGCGGTTGTGGAAGCGAGGAAGAATGGGTTTGAGGATGTTGTTGGGGTGATTATGGGGAGGTAGGCCTGTCTTGTCTTCGCCTTCTTGCCTGTCAGGCTGGAGGTTGGTTTGGTTGGAGGTGCGTTTGTGATTTGTTTAATGTAAGATGGGCTGGTGAACGGGTCTCAAGTGAGATATCCTGTTTCATATGCATGATACCTACATGGAATGCAATACTTGATATCATTCCTCCGTGATATAATCAATCCTATGATGATAACTCGGAAATAACTCGGCCCTGACACCACAGGACGTGTTCTAGACCATCAGAAAACCCCTCGTAGAAAGGAACCTCTTATAATGCCAGACCCAAAAGATCAATATAATTGTGGCAAAATGACAGGAATCGACTGATGCAGTCATGCATACCGGTTCCTATATAGCCGTTTGGTAATCCAATTCCTTACCCATAACAAGCAAAACCACACAACGAACTCGATATATCTTTAAAGAAGTCGCTCTTCTGTCATACCAGAATATCCTATATATCATACATCCAGATCGACTCATCGAATCCATAATGTCCAACCAGTCCAACCAATCCACCAAGGCATCCTCCCAACGCCGCAGCTTCTCGCTCCCAGCGGACCTTCAAAACATCCTAGACAAAGAAGGGCTGTACCGGGATTTATACGGTGATTATGAGAAGGGAGCGGCAGGCTCGGAATGGCTCGGGAAATGTAAAAATGGAGGATAAAGGAGGGGATATTGGTAATCAATTGCATCTATTCGGTTTGTATATAGTATATTTGTTGTATTTTATTTAGAATATTGGTTGACTGAGTTAAATGGAATTGTCTTTTGCGTGTGGGTATATATACAAAAATAAATCGACAAGGTACTCCTTCATGACCGGCAGGAAGGCGATACAATGCAAGGCAAATATATACAACAAAATGCCACCAAGAACCGAAAACCGCTAAGCAAAGACTGGGCAAAACAAAATCAATACTCCAACCGATCATCATGAACCAACTCCACATCGTATCTCTCATTACCCTTCCACACCCGACCTGGATCATTGAGCGACGCCACAGTTGTGCGAAGCGAGGAGATCAACCCCGTCGGCCCGCTAGCAATGACACGCGTTGGACCCTGAACAGTGCGCTGCACGAAATCAGTCAGGTCTGCCGGCACATCAGGGTGTACCGAGGTGCCGGAATTCCCGGGCCGCAAGCAATGCACCGAGAACGGGTTATCCGACAAAGGAGCGTCGTGAGAAACAGTAGATAGCGGTCTCTTGATCTCGGAATCGGTGATATATGCCGGTGTGAAGGAGTTTCGAATATTGGCCCGGTCGTCTTCGCGCGTAACATACACCCGGATCCGGAAATGGGTGCATGCTTGTGCAGCGGTACGCAGTACTTCCAGTTCTTCGCTGAGCCACCGCATGTCTGACTTGCGGCGGACGATCCACACAAGCTCGACTATGCTTCTTCGGGTGGAGAAGAATCGATTTAATACTATCGCTTGCAGGATCGGGAGAACGAATGTCACACCTGTGCCGCCTGCAACACAGAAGAGGTTGATGTCGTCTGAGCAGTGGAGGTCGTTGTCGACGATGGATTGCCCGTATGGTCCGGAAAGAACGATGGATGTACTTGGTGGTTCGTCCCAGTTTAACCCCTGGGGCTGACGGGAGATACGAGCCAAGTCCTTGGTTAAACCCTTCTTCGCGCGGATGATGTACGTGTGGGATTGCTTGGAGCCGCCAGGCACAGAGGACGGCGTCATGGGGTGCGATTGCCAGATACTAAGCCCGGGGAAGCATAGGTAGAAATGCTGGCCGATTTCCCAAGGGCTGTGGTCGTGGTCGAAATCCAGACGGACGACGTCTCCGTCTTCATCATTGGGAAAGGAGACTATGCGAGCTTTGGGGATGTGCAGACCCCAGAAGGAGAACGTTTCTGAAGCGTGCGGGCCGAAGTGTGTGAAAACGTCCGCAACAGCCGAATGGCCCGGTCGAGCAGCCACACGACCAATGACGCGATCATCCAGCATGAAAGCTGCTCCCAGTGTCCCCAGCAAGCACCCACGTATAGCATGGCTACGACATAGTGCGCTTTGCGGAAGAACTCGTACCCCGTGAGGCGGATGGCCCACTTGGTACTGAAGAAGACCAGGAATGACAGGAATATCATGGCTACGATGCCCCAGATCATGTACTCCTGAGCTATAAAAGCGTTCCATGTTGAGGGTTGCGGCTGGTACAGCTTCCCCTCCATGAGGGTCCAGCCGAAGGTGTGAAGAGCAGATTGAATGTAAATAATCCAGCCGAGCCAGCGATGAAGAAAGTTGAAATGGTGATAAGGTATTCCCGTACAGAGGGAAAGGAGGGATTCCCTGGTACACAGAAGCACAGCAAGGGGCGTTAAGGCGTATGCGAGAACTCCGAGGCGATCAGCCCACGGACCAATTCCCGTGGGAGTCGATCGCAAGTTGGTTCCCTTGACAGGGATGTACCATGTTTTGTAAACGATTCCGACAAAGCTGAAGATGATGAGATAGCCGGCTAGAATGGCGAGGACGAGGATATTAAACCGAGTGGTGCGGCCGAATAGAGAGGTTAGAGATTCCTGGACAAAGTAGCGGTGGTATATCGAGCCAAGTGATCTCCTCATGCGATAAATAGAGCTCTGTGATCTATTTTCATGTTCCCCCTCCTTCTGAATGCATGAAGATGTAGACTTGCGTGTGATAGGATTGCAGTAATGGGCAATGAAGCAAAGGAATACAATTCCAAGAATGACCGCCCAGAGAATGGCACTGTAGAGTATAGACAAATCATGACTGTGATAGACCGTATCTAGATATGCACACTTTCCCGCACCACTGGTACAGGGGAGTTGGCGATTATAGTATCCCCAGTGGTGTTCAACACCGGGACCACTATCCGGGATATCGTGAGCATGGCGCGGAGAGAGCATCTTGAGTCGTCAATGCTCGAGAGAAGGGACGAACGTTGCTGGGCTCTGGAGAGGAGGAAAACGAACATGCTGGATGGCTGCGGGGGATGTCCATATTAAACTGTACCCGCCGTCGCGAAAAGTCGTTAAGACACATACGTTAAAAAGTGGGTTGCCAAGGAGAAAATATGCTCAAGTGCAATGCCAAGGACGCTTTGGCCAGAAGTATTTGATTTGCAGTTGTCTGGAAATGAGACAGTGGATCACTTGGCCTGTGTCAAGTTTATAGCTGTATGATTCATTGGGATTCATCGATTCATGGGAGTGCCCAAAGCAAATGACTCGTATGAAGGCGAATCGCTTGCGGATCTTGGCCTGACGAACCCGAATACTATCCTGTGTAACACAGCTGGCCCGACCGCTTGGCGCCATGCCGGAAGTTAATCTAATCGAAATCTGCTCAAATAGGATCATCCCCACCTTCCTGGTAAAAAGCACCAATCGGCGCTATTACCGCTTAGGGTTTTGCCAGAGACTGCCGAATTGGACAGGGTCATTTACCCGATCGTTCTCGACCGAAGCTCATTGTGTCTCTTTCTTCCTCATTGTTCATTGATGTAGGAACCTTAAGCATACAACAAAGATACTACTACGGTTGGAGAATCGTGCATGATTGGTTCTCTATAATCACATACTGGGGGCCAGGGGCATATGGAATAAGGCAGGAAGGCCGCCGGAACAGAATACCTTTTCTGGTAAAGCGAGAAGCAGAAATGATTGTCACCGGTGGCGGTGATTTCCTCTTTTGAAACTTGTTCTGCTAAACGGATTTCCTGATATACCCAGCCAGGTAACCTGCCACATATTTGATTTTCTTCTTAACTCCCGTAATTGGTACCATCTAATGCTTTGTGGAGTGAGAAATAACGGCGGACCTGTGTTTCTAAGCGGGGTGATCTCCCAAATAGCTTTTCGACCAAGCCCGCCTAATTGTCCCTTGATTTAGATATCTTCTTTTAGGTCCAATACTTAATCCTTCTTTAACTGCAATACCCTCACTACTCAAGGCCATCTCAATGGAAGTGCTCGAACTTTGCGGATACACATGATCTAGACGGCAAAGTCATCGCAGACCGGGTGATAACGCCACTCTTATCGAAATTTCTGAATCGCGTCAGCATCGTTGCAAGCAATAGTAGGCCCCGTCCCGGCATCAGCAGAATGTCTTATACCAGGCTGCTCTAAAAGGTTGGAACAATCAAGGCCTTCAACTAACTATAACCAGGAGGAAGGCATTGGAGCCTTTACAACAGCGCTGTTGATACCTCTCAGATAGCTCAGTCTGCTTTCGCGTGAGGAGCCTATGATGTGTAAACTTTTCGCGCCCATGTATTTAACTTCTTGAATTTGAGGACTATCATATCCCAACTTCTCAGATTGCATTGACGGCTTTATTTTCTATAAGTGTTACGTATTGTGCATCGATCTTTTAGCAGCGGGGAGGTTCACGGAATAAAAACAATTGAGTTTAGTTCAAGTGCACCCATCTCACTGAGATTTTCCAGTTTTGCAAAAGTACCTTATCTGTATCTAGCACAATATTCATGATGAGATGTCTGTCAAAGCAAAGCGTCCACGTTGTGAAGTACAGCTGCTGCCGATATGTACTCCGTAAGTATCGGCCATCCGAGACCCACCGGGATGGGTTACCTATTTAGTCGACGGACTGGGAAACTTGTATGCTGCTATCCCCACGCAACAGCGCCCCTCTACCCCGGACAAATCCTATATTAAGATGGCAGGAGGAAATTTTGGAATGGCTTTATTCTATTCGGTCTGATGGTTAGACTCCACGTCTTACTGCCTGTTATTAACCTCTCCTCGTGACACTCATCCCCACACTCTTGATATCTCTTTATAAATATAGTGCCACTCCTCTAGCTTGCATCACTACCAATACAGCCTCCAACGTAGACATCGAATAACATGGACCCTCAATCGCCAATACCTGAACAGTGCAAAGCCGGAGTCGTTTCCAACAATGGCCCTGACTACCAGCTGACGGTTGAAGATGTCCCTGTGCCAACGCCAGGTAAGTAAGCCCTTCCATCTTATGAGCATATGCCCGAATCAAAGTTGCTGATATTTTACCCTCTCAGGCCCTGACCAACTACTGATTAAACTTAATGTGACCGGGCTATGCTACAGTGACATTCATTATATGTTGGAAGATCTGCCCCTTCCGCGAATGCGCGATTACGGCGTTCGATCTCCAGGCCATGAGGGTGCAGGCATCGTAGTCGCTCTTGGTTGTGATGTGAATGGGTGGAAGCTAGGGGATCGAGCTGGAATTGCGCCCACTTGGGATACTTGTATGAGCTGCGATTTGTGCTCTTCTGAGCTGGAATGTCATTGCTCGCATGCTGTGCCGACTGGATTGAAGGTTTCTGGTAGGATCCTGAGAAGAAAGAACCAAATAAGCTTGTAGTATTGCTTTCTAACCATGAAGATAGGCACATATCAACAATATATCGTCAGCCCAGCACGATACACAACCCCCATTCCGAACGGCGTTGACGATTTCTCCGCCGGCCCCATCATGTGCAGTGGATCAACCATGTTCAGAGCAGTACACGCCCCTTGCCTGACCCCCTTCTTTGAATAACAGGAGTTGCGCTAATACCACTTCCTAACCCAATTATTAGCTCCGAGAGTCAAACCTACGTGCAGGCCAATGGGCAGTGATAGTGGGAGCCGGCGGCGGAGTAGGACATATGGGGGTGCAAATAGCGAAAGCAATGGGTCTGCGGGTCATTGGCATCGACGCAGGTGAAGACAAAGAAACTCTTTGTGTCAAACTCGGCTGCGAAGCCTTCATAGACCATCAAAGGTCTACCAATCTGAGCCAGGATGTACGCAATATAGCCGATGGGAAAGGTGCACACGGTGTACTTGTGACCGCATCATCTGCTGCTGCATACCGTGTAGCGCCTCATATGCTTCGTGTGGGAGGTGTAGTTGTTTGTGTTGGTATGCCTGCGTCTGGCACAGCATTTGCAGGGGATGATCCCATGTATCTGATCCTGAATAACTTGAAGGTCGTGGGCTCTCTCACGGGGTCACGTCAGGATACGGCTGGAGCTTTGTCGCTGGCTGCGCGGGGGTTGCTTAAGCCGATGTATGAGTCGTTCAGTTTACAGGAATTACCAAATGCAGTGAGCCAACTAAGGCAGGGGAAGGTTAGAGGGCGCTGTGTTGTGGATTTTAATGTCTGAATCTTGGTGTTGACATAGGGGACCTATGGGAGATGTTTAATATCTTCAGGTGCTGATTTCCCCTAAACTAGCTGTCAACTAAGGGATCTTAAAACGGGCAGCTTGCAATGTAGAACTGCTGTACGGAATACGAAAGGTTTCTCACCTCCCTCTAATATTTATATTCTATTTTGAGATGTCATATATTCATACATCTTGTCGTTGCTATTTATAATATATAACATATATGACAAATGACCATAAAAGGAACCGAATCCAAACCTGTAGCCATGGAGTACACAAGGAAAAATAAAAGGATTCTCTATTTTCGAATTTCCTGCCCTCCGGGCTCAGAGGTTTTATTCATTTACCTGAGGTGGGAAGCCGGTTCCTTGTGACTGTGTTGGTGGGAATCATCTCCTTCATGTAAACCCACCGCTTATGTGTATCAATTCGGGGTGCTGTTCTCCCTGATATGCGACTGAAAAGAAGTGTCCAGGGAGACAGTGAGCTGTATGAAAGATGCAAGAACGGCTGCCTTCAGGGGACTCTGCGAGGTGCATTAATATACAATAAAGAGTTATATTCGGCGAATATTAAGATCTTTATCCAATATTTAGGTGGCGCTAAAACCCTCCTTATACTACTGAAACAAAAGGTCGGATACAAAGCGATAGCAGACAAAGATATCAGGCGCTAGGTCTACATAGGCAGCTTCACAGTATATAACCATGGCTGCACGGAGAGGGGAACATGAACACTTGTCTTTCTCTAACTCTCTACTTCATATTTCTATTCACGATGTCTCGTTCGGTGTCTCCTGCTCCTCCTTCAGAGGGTGAGTCTGGCGACCCTTTCCAAGGCTCACTTACTGGTCTTTCTTTGACGGATGCGTCTGAGACAGGTACCCCCGAAAGGAGCGCATGTACAACCTGTTTGAGCAATTCCTTCGCACAATGTCGGAGGCGGGATCCATCGGAGACGGTACGGACTTAGCCACGGGTTATCCTTGCGACTTCTCCATGAACAATTTTTAGAGCATGCAAGAAGCATTATCCACCCGCCCTCGCTTCTCAGCTCGGGGCATGGAACACACATCTGATTTGTCATAGCAGCAACATGATTAGGCATAAGACTCTGTTATCGGTGCCCTTATAGATCAAGAAGGCATAGTACCAGTGGTCTATATCGGCAAGAGTCGATGAGGTTGTGACAGAGCGCCACCGTGAGCGCCATCCGCCGTGTACGTCGAGGGCGCAGCGGCGCACGAAAACAAGAACATGGGAGCCCTAACAAAGGCTCTACGTCATTAAGCCACACAAGCTATTATAAACTGGGACATTCTGAGATTTTCATTGTGGTAGAAAGTGTATTTTCCTTGTCTCCTTTCCTAGACCTTCATCAATACCAACAGCAACACAAAAGAAAGTATGTACCATGGGCACAACCACGGACAGTAACGAAGGTGGTCATTTCATGCCCATAACGCACGTATACGACCCTGTACTGGACCTTAACACCTCGTTCGATCCAGATATCTTCGCATTTCTCCAAGACTCGGACGATATTGTTGGTGGATCAGGATGTTATTCGAACTCCATTGTCTTGTACCCCTCCCAATTGTCGATATCCTGGCCTAGCTACTTGCCCTGCTGTAGACAGAGCAAGCACTGGAAGGTAGCAGAAGGCATGACCAAAGAACTGCTGGACGCTATATACAAGGACTCGGGTCGAGATAATAGAGTACTACCTGGGGAGCTTCAAGACACATCGTTGGATGTTAGAAGGCGGAAGGAGGTAGAGATCATAGCTACATCAGTCAAGTCGACAGCGTATATGTATCCAAATGCAAGTCCAGTACGTGCGGGCATGCTAAGTCAGACCATGTTGGTTGTTTTTCTGCATGACAGTGAGTGATACGTTGATCTATTCCCCAGATGGTGCATTTGGTTCTAACATTCTCAAACTAGATGTTGTGGATAGCTCTCCGTCGCGCGCTGTAAGTCGGCTTATCGTGTTTGGTTGCAGTTTATATTCAGGTTAGTCTTAAGGGATCTACAATCACCGACGCCATTTTCGCCCCATATGAGCCGAAGGCTGGCACCGCACAGAAGCGTTGCGAGGCTTTGTGGAGCTTCTTGACAGCAATCATTGAGGAAGACCCGAACCTTGGAAAGAGGCTCGTCTCCAGCGTACTCACCTGGCTCAGTCATACTAAGGGGTATCGGTCGATCGCACCGACGGTCTTTGAGTCGTTGAGAAGCTATCTAGATTTTCGATCAGAGGATATTGCTCTAGAGTACGTAACCCGGAGTTCGCATATAGAGAATAGAAAGTTACAGTTAACCTCCACCAGATTTCTCTTAGCACAGACTTTGTTTGCTAATAACATCCACCTTTCTGAAACCGAGATACAAGTATTCAGCAAGTTGATGCGGATATATGTGACTCACGTCTCTCTCACGAATGATCTTTACTCCTTCCAAAAGGAGAATGAAGAGTACGAGCGAACCGGCGCACTGCTCATCAACGCGGTCGATGTTATACGCAAGGAATACCAGGTCTCCCCGGTGACGGCGAAGCAGCTTGCCCGGGGATTTATTTTGGACACAGAGTGTGAGTTTTCCGTGGAGTTTAAAAGGCTAATATTGTCGGGCCTCTTGAATGATGGTCAGATCCGGTTCGCGAAGGCGTTGGCTGAATGCCTTGCCGGAGAGATCTTTTACTCGATCACCTCTGGTCGGTATGGAGGGGGAAAGGCTGCGAGGGTGATCTCTGCGTGAGCTGCCTGCTCACAATTCTATGTTCTAGCTGTAATGCCAGGGGTAGTTGTTACAGTCACAATGCAATTTGGATATTCATCAGCCTATGTGGAAATGGGAGAGGTAGGGTTGAACTGCCGGGGCACGGATGAAAGACTTGACACCTGGTCTAAAATTGATAAAGATTGTATATAGATCGTTGTCAGCAGAGTATTAGATAGTATGACAGATATATGCTACGATATTCATCCTTGTTTACATCTACTAACCGGCTCATTTCTTCACCTTGTCGTCTATGACCGCATAGCTACACCTTAACCCAGATTGACTTCCGGGAGGCGACGTTTAACGACCAGCCCAGCATCATAATGAACTCAATTCCATCCAAACCCATCCATGACGTCAGCTCTATTCCGGCATAAATACATCTCAGACTCCTACCGACAAGCAAAAGGTCAATAACCAACATCATTAAAGAATAGCACGACTCCCTAGAACAATAATCACAATGGTCAAAGACAAGGACACCGTCATCGAGTACACTGCCCTTCCGTTTCAGCCCTAATCCAAGCTAACTGGCCACCAGGGAATTCAACGACCTGGTCAACATGACCCCCAATGAACTCCGTGACTGGCTCAAAGAAGAGCAGTCGCAGTCGTCCGGGTGGAGTGGTGAATCTGGAGAGACAATTGGACATGAAAGGTCTCTTCTACTCACATACCCCTTCAACAAGTATTGGATAAAAACTAACCAAGTATAGTGGTCGCAAGATTGTCGACATCCTAGAGCATAACCCGTCCAAGGATCCAGATGGATACTCCGACCAGGACATCGATCACATGCGACGAGTCGTGTCGTATTGTAAGCGGCATTTGGCGCAGGAGGAGAAAGCCAAGCAGGATCCGAACAGCAAGAGCCATCGGTCGTTGAAGAACTGGGGACATGATCCGTTTAAGTCCTGATTCTAGACGTGTATATATGAAACGCGCAGTGTTGTGTATGTATTTCATATATATATAACAATTAGTCCGTCTGTAGTCGTTACCACATTACTACATTCTACGCCATTTTGATAGACTCGTGTTCCTCCCTCCATTGAAATTGATTCTGTACCTGAATAGACCCTTGTTCTGGCAATGACTTGAAGACGATTGCCAAGGCCGCAAGAATATAGACAGCAATGACAATGCCATTCCTTCTCTGTGTATGTCTCAGTGAGTTCAAGGTCTGGTGGCGGTTCACCGAAGGCACTTCTCACTTCCACGTTTCCGCGGCTTTCAATAGAACCAAGCTAGAAAAATAGGACTGGCTGAGACACAGCCAAGGAATCGCTAAGGAATAACAAGGTTCTCCGGACTACTTTTGACGACGTGCATGCGGTCGCCAGGCACGATTTACATATCTGAACTGGCTTGCATGCAAATCCTGCACCATAATGTTCTCGTCTGCAGTAGCAGGGAATAGAGAACACGTAGTGTTGTCTATTGCATGATCATCTCGGTACGGCGGAAGCGAGTCCCTGCAGCTCCACTCGACGCAGCTCGTTAGTGGCCGTTAGAGCCATCCTGCTAATGAACGATTGGCCTCCGCCGTCGCCGCTACTGCACGTCGGAGCGAATTCTGTAACCCAGTAACCCCTCCGTTCTTTGACGAGCAGGCCAATGCTACGCTGCATGGAGACATGTGTCAGTATCAAAAAGTGGAGTCTTGGGGAACCGGAACAATTGCTTTGCACGGTATGGCCAGAGCCCTGGAGCAGTCTAGCGACACATAGATACTGCTAAGAGCTACATGGCAGCCACTTCAAAATTTATTTTTGCCTCAATTTTATTCGTTTGCTCTTCTACTCGCTTTTCCCGTGTTTTATATTAGTTAATTACTCATAGTTTAACAGCCCACGAAATGTAACGCAACCCACTGACCAACGTAATCCAACACGGCTTGAGCCGGGTAGATCAACGATCAACAATGCCCTAAAGTCCTAGCTCTAGCACTAACAGAACGGGGCAACTCTGGCTTCACCCTAAGATCGGGCCTCTAACATCCGGTCCTGGCAAGCGATCAGCTGTCAGTCCCGAGTCATGTCACAGCCTCGCGATTTCACAGCCTTCTACTTGGCGATACCTGGTCCCATCCCTCCATATAATGGAGCCGATACCCCCGACCCCAGACGCACTACCTGGTCCTCTGCTACCCATATACCCATCGCTTAAAAATTCAAAATGCCGTTAAACGAGGCCCCCGCATCCAATGGCGAAGCCCAGAACGACTGGAAAGTCGACCCCTCCGTCTTTGCCTTCACGCCGAGAAAGCTGCGTGTAGTGTGTATTGGAGCAGGTTTCTCTGGTCTGACCATTGCGTATAAACTCAAACACGAGACGCCTCTGGACTTTGTTGATTTCACTATCTACGAGAAGAATCCGGAGGTCGGGGGCACGTGGTTTGAGAATATCTATCCGGGGGTGGCGTGGTGAGTACTTCAACCTGGTCTACTGTGGATATGGATGTGTGCTGACGATGCTAGTGATATTCCTGTTCGTGAGTTGATACTTAATTTCCAGAAGGCCTCAGTGGGAGGCTGACTCAAAGAAGACAGTTATCAGTTCCCGTTTGCGCCTAATCCCGCGTGGTCGAGCTACTATGCCACTGGGAAGGAGATACAGGAGTATATTGTCAGCACAGCGGACAAGTACGATCTGAAGGAGAAGGTCAAGTTCAATACGAAGCTCGTCAAGGCAATTTGGAGCGAGGTGCAGGGGAAATGGAAGCTTCAATTGCAACAGGGTGAGTTCGTTCTGGAAGATGAGGCCGATATCGTACTGGATGGGAGTGGTATTTTGAAGTAAGTCTTCGTCGACAGCTTCTGTGAAGGGAATCTAACCATGTCAGTAAATGGAAATGGCCCAATATCGAGGGTCTGGATACTTTTAAAGGAAAGCTGCTTCATACTGCTCGATGGTAGGCTCAATTTATCCATGTAGTAGTGGCGTGAACAATAGCTGACATCACCAGGGACCCGGAATACAACTACGAGGGCAAGAAAATCGCAGTCCTCGGCAACGGCTCATCTGGAATTCAGATAATTCCTTCTCTTCAACCCAAAGCCGCAAAGCTAGTGAATTACATTCGACATGCTACTTGGATTTCCCCCAACCTCTGTGGCCAATTGACGAGGGACGGGATGGGTACGAACTTCCAATTCACATCAGAGGAAAAACAGCAATTCCAGGACGATCCAGAAAAACTTCTGGAGTATAGAAAATCCATTGAGGGGGCGTATGTTTCTCTTCGGTATTTTAGCTTAACATGTGGCTGACATGGATCGACTGCAGTGTCAATAGCGTGTATGCCTGGATGATCTCGGGATCTGAGGAAAATAAGGCCCTTTATGAGGTGGTACATGGGGTAATGCGAAGCCGCCTGTCCAAAAGCCTAGAGCTGCTCAAGACACTGATACCGACGTACGAGGTTGGATGTCGACGTATTAGTCCCGGCGACGGCTATCTGGAGCTATCCAGGAAGACAACGCCAGGATCACCTTGAGTAATATCAATCGCATTACACCCAACGGAATCGAGACAGACGAAGGAGAAGAGGAATTTGATTTGATCGTCTGCGCGACTGGCTTCGACTACTCATTCATTCCTCCCTGGGAGCTAATCGGCCGTGACGGTCGCCGCCTTGATGAGGAGTGGAAGGACATACCAGAAGCATACTTTGCGACATGTGCTGGCGGAGTTCCCAACTATTTTATGTTTGGTGGACCAAACTACCCCATTGGCCATGGCTCTTTGCCTGCGGCACTCGACTCCTCCGCTGACTATATGTTGCAATGGATCAAGAAGATTGCGGCGGAGGATATCAAGTACGGATTTGTCTTGTTTCCCATCGACTCCTTGTCAGAACTAACATCCTCCAGATCGGTCGTAGTGAAAGACTCCGTGGTCCGTGATTATAACAAATTCGCGCAAGAAACCCTGAAGCGCTGTGTCTGGTCTAAGGGCTGTCATGCCTGGTACAGTAAAAGAAACGAAGGAGCCGACAACACTGTCACTGCCATGTATCCAGGAAGTGCACTTCATTTCAAAGGTATGTCGGCCGTTCCAACACTTATCGATGCTGCTAACGCTCTATGTAGCCTGTATGGAAAAGATTCGCCCCGAGGATTTTGAGATCCAATATAATACCACCAATCCCTTCAGATTCATGGGGAATGGACAACTGGCGTTTGAGCGAGTCCCTGGCGCTGACCTGGCTTTCTATTTGAAGTAGTTCAGGCAGCATGTTGTGTCTGCATGAAATGTTATGATACTATATGGATGTTTCGCTGGTGATTACTGATATAGGTCTATTCCATGATAGTTATGAATTATTCTCCTTCTAGATCTACGTAGACTCTAGATACTGTACGTAGTTACCGGTGTCTATAAGAGGGTTTCCTGGGCAATAAGCTATAGTAACTGATGGATCCGCGGATTAGAGTATATCAATTATATCAACAAAAAATGAGCCCGAAAGACAATTGCCGCCACAAAACTTCAAAAAGCCGACCAGAACGCAAGGAACCAACCAAATCAAAAAGCCCCCGAGTCATTCTCACTCTATCCATAAGTTGAGATCAACTAAGTGCCCTTCCACACCTCCGTATCTGCTTATATACAAGCTCCTTTTCAAGACAATCGTGAGTGGCGTCGACGATAGTCTCCATCTCTTCTATACTATCCAGATCAATCTCCCCCAGCCCGTTCGGAACATCGAACCGGAACAACCGATTCTCGTCATCTAGCTCGGTATGTTCCTGAATGAACCGATTCGTATCAATGTCCGGGTCCACAATATCGACATCGGTCCCTTTGACCAAGCCAAACAGTCGTCTGCGAGACCGCTTGATCGACGGCTCCCCAGTTCCAATCGAAACCATGCATTTTAAATGATTCTCCAAGGCCCCCGCCGGCCACACGCCTCTCGCTTCGATCCACACTTCTCTCATCGGGTTGTTAGCTTCCAAACTGCTATCATGAAACCGCCGCCCGCTGGGCCCGATCTTAACGGAGTCGAAAAGCGGCGAGTGAGCAAAGGAAGCCGCACCGGCTTCATAGACCTTCGCAGACTTGAAGAGTTCATTCGAGCAGTATTTGCTCGGGTAACTTGTCAGGTGGACCAGTCTGCGATTAGTATCGTCGGTGGCGCAGACAAATCTACTCATGGAATTAGCGGCCCGCCAGAGCGACACCAGGAACATCGCAAGCAACTACAAGAGTCAAAGACTACTTACACCTTACACCCAGCCTCTTCCCTCAGCAGAACATCCTTTTCATAGCTCAGCTCCCGCAGGATCTTCCGCAACGCCATCTCGACCTTCTTAACATCGTATTTCGCGCGACTGCGCAGATTGCTACCGATTGGTAGGAGTCTCTTCTGGGAGAATACGTTCTGCGATAGTAGCTTGTAGGCGTGGATACACTGGTCGATATCCATTTCCAGACGCCCAAGCATGATCGCTATTAACCTGCGATATATGGTGAGTACTATGTATTATTGGGGTCACGACCCTGACCGGTGAACGAACCCACCCGACCCGCTGCCTCCTATCAGATCAAAGTAATCGCATGGCTTGGGGGGATTCTCTCGATCTATGGATTCCATGATCTCCTTCAGGATAATAAGCGAAGAGAGGCCCCGCACACCCCCGCCGTCTAGGCTTAGGAGGTTGATATTTCGGCCCGACATGGGAGGTAGAAATGCTTTGTGACAGCTTGATCAAGAGATCAGATAGAAACACCGACAACTTATTCCAGCAAACAAATAAAGAAATTAGACGAAAAGAGCGCCAACCCCTCTTTTATCACTCGTCGAAAAACTACGTCTTCCCTGCAAGCAGCCGTAAGGCAGACAGGGGACAGCCAGTCAAGATAAAACCACACACGGCAAATCGCATGAGCGAAAACGCAGCACTACGCAGGCAGAAATAGGGCACCAGTGACCAGCATCGCTCGAAATCTTGACACAGGCTGCGTTGACCGCTAACAAAGAAAGGTTTGGGGCCACATTATCTGCACCGGAAATCGCCCCGCACTTTGGGCATATCAGATTGGAAGATCCCGGTGTGCCTGTCTCTGCCTGCGCTTCTGATAGGCGAGGTGAACTCCTCGGTGACACATCAGAGAAGGTTTCATGCGATTGGTGTTGAGTGGAGCGCATGGCAGCCACGTAGTCGGCGCTTACCCGCGATATCGGATGGAACTGCCCGTGTTCATTGGCGCAATGCTGCAGGCGGGTTTGGAAGGCCGGAGCATAGCCACATCATCCGTGCGATGACGCATGGCTGTCTTCCTTAGTGTCGTGTTCTACTCTGGTGAGAGTGAAGGTTCGTGTATGTGTTCATAGAGTGACATTTCTCGCGGATTAGGGTTTCTTTTTCGGGTCATGTACAAACGAACTTGGAAGTTTGCTATTTGTTCCGTCGCTGAGTGATGTGTTACATACTATTTCTAGCTGATTTTGTTCAATATAGCTACGAGAGGTATTTTTTAATCAAAGAAACATAGAATAAGAGTTACAATAATAAAACTAAGGCCAACAGGCAGATAGACTTGACGGTAAGTTCCAACACCATTCGTACACTTCATACCCAAGTCAGAGAAATATTAAATCAACCTCAAACTCCAAATGTATCAAGGTAGAGTATAGCCGCCGTCAATCACAATATTCGCACCAGTCATATAGCTCGACGCATCAGAAGCACAGAACACATACGCCTATCAACCATATCAGCAATCACTTCCATGTACAGCAGGTATACACTTACACCCTTGAGCTCATAAGCCTCGGCCATCCGCTTAGCCGGAATCATATCAAACCACTTCTCCCGCCATTCCTTAGGATGGATATCCAGAATATCCGTGGCGATAAATCCAGGAGAGATACAGTTCACACGACAGAAGTCCACCCATTCAACAGATAGACACTTAGCCATCTGCACAACTGCAGCCTTCGAGGCATTATACTACGATCGTTAGTCCAGCACGTGTCTCCACAGGAACCCACTCACGGCAGCTTGCTTCTGAGGCACGTTCACCAACGTCGCGCTGACGGACGCCGTGAAAATAACATTTCCATATCCTTGCTCCTTGAAGATCCGGGCCGCGGCCTGGGCTGTATAAAATGCACCGTCCAAGTTGACCTTGGTAATATTATGCCATTGTTCGGTAGTATAGTCCTCCGCGGGCACATTGGAACAGATTCCTGAGTTTGCGACAATGATATCTAGTTTCCCAAAGTCCGCGGCGATTTGCTTGATTGCCTTTTCGATTTCCTCTTGGTTCGCCACGTCAGCTTGGTATGCGGCTGCTTTGACGTTGTGCTTGGCTGCTATCTCCGTTGCAAGTGACTCGGCGGTCTTGGATGAATTATAGATCAGAGCGACCTGTTCCGTAGCTTAGTACATGCTGATATTGACAAGCTGAGGGTTTGGGGTTTACATCAGCGCCTGCTTCTGCTAATGCTATTGAGACTTCTAAGCCAATACCACGGGCGCCACCTGATGAGATACAAGGTAAGTTACTGAGCTGATGTTGGGTAGCAGTGTTGTTCCTAGATCAAACCCTACCAGTCACGGCTGCGACTTTGCCTGAAAGGTCAAATGCCTTGAGAACGTGTTTGTTTTCGGGCTGTGCGAGTACCATCTTGATGTTACTATATATAGCATGCCACGATATACAGGTATAAGATGAAGGTACTGGATGAGGTTGTTATCTATCAAATATCTTGACATGGCTTCGGGCAACCCCGCAAATATTACAATCCCCGCATCGGAGATTCTCCGCAATTTCAAGTACCAGCCAAGCATCTCTTTAGAGTCTTTACAATAAAATCTCAAGTTCTTATCGGGGCTGCAATCGTTAATTAGTCTATTATATGATCTTAACTATATAATTA